TCTCACCCCTCGTTGGGGACATATTTTCAGGTGCCCAGATTCCCGGTGAGTCCTCACTAATAGGGACGCGACACGTGGCTGAGGCAGTTGACGGATCGGATTTTGAGTGGCTGTAGGCTACTAATTTTTGGAAGTATATTCATGTCATTTTGTATTTCCGCCTTTGATGGATCATGACATTGATCCTTTATTTTGTATATGGCCTGTATATGTTTTGTACATGTCTGTCAGTTTGATGCATGTACATTTGAGTATTCAGGCACATTATATGATGAGGTAGTATTCAGATATGTTTACGTGTTGGATTGCATGCTGTTAGATATAGTGGCACTAAGCCAAGTTATGCATGCGCCCATGGATGGGCATTTGATTATAATTGTATAAACTGTTTATCAGGAAATGCTTCTGTGTGGGATTGGAAAATCCCCAGTTGTCCGATTTATAGAGGAAACTCTGCCCGATTTTCGTTTACGACGAATGAGAATTAAGTTAGAAAAAGAAAAAAGTTAGCTCATATTTTCGTAAGTTAAGTCTTTCGCTGTTTCTGTTTATATCATGTGTATGTTAATTGAACCGGCTCGAGACGGGGATGTTACATCCTACGTTTCATGAGTGTTCCAAACATATCGACATTGATTGCCACGTGACTCGTGAGAAGCTTCAATCTGGTTTACTTCACTTACTCCCTATTTCCAGTGCACTACAACTTGCTGATGTTTTTACTAAACCATTGGCTCCTTCACTGTTTTCTGGATTCATTTCCAAGATGGGATTGCTTAGTATCCACACTCCAGCTTGCGGGGGGGTATTACACACAAGTTCCAGCTCTCATGTACCAAAGCCATGTAGCAGTGAAACTCCCTTCTCAACTCATTCTCCACGTGGACCATCTAATCATCAAAGAAACGAAACAAATGCAGTTAATCTGTTAGAGTAATTAATGGAGTTAGTTAGATTCTGTTAGAGTAATTAATGGAGTCAGTTAGATTCTGTTATGCATCATTAGGCTCTTTTTGTTAGTTTCTCTTATCAGTATCAGATCATGTTGATCTTGTATATATAGAGTTAAGCCTTGTATTATTATTTATTCATTCAGTTTTAATAGATCAAGCTAAATTCAATATAACCACTTACGCATAAGGTGGTTAATTAAGATTACGCCACTTGGCAACAACTGATTCAATCAATGCCTAAATGTGCACCAATCTCATACGTGAGTTAAATGTGCATTTTCGATACATATTTTACTGTATTATTTTAAGGGTTTGGTGTTTGTCATTTTAAATAACATAAGTTATGTCATTTTAAGAAAGAGATAGACACAAAGAATAAAAATCATGGGAGAGAAAGTGAGTGGTTTTTTTTTAATTTAAATTTTAAATAAAAAATATTTTTTTGTGTCTATCTCTCTTTTAAAATGACATAATTTTATGTCATTTAAAATGATAAACACTTTTCTCTTATTTTAATAATTCTTTTTAGTTTTGAATTATTTTAGTGTTTTTTTTTTTAAAAAAAAATGGCATTTAAATGGTTAAAAAAACCCATTTTATTTTGTTTCCCCCCGGCCCCTAAAATGCTACTTTAAATATGGTGCCCTTCGGGTCTTTACAGGATAAATGATGACAACTATTAGACCCATATTTGGTTTACAGTTTGCATCCTCCAAACCATGGTTTGAGGGGTACCAATATAGTTTCACTTTGCCTAATACATGTTTGGTAAAACCTTTATTTGAGAAGAAAAAATAATTTTTTGCTTCTCCTTCATCGAAACTCAGTTTTGCCAACTCAAAACCAAACATGACCCGATCCTCAGAAAATTTTTAGCCTCTGTGGAGTAAGAAGAAGTCAGTCTCGCACATCTTGGACTCCCTTCACAACCACAAAGTTTTCAATTGACTCTGGCTGAGTTTGAATTTTGAAAGAAAGAAAATTTAGCATATTCTGTCAAACATGGTGTGGACTTTTTGCGAGGATATTGCCTTCTTCTTCTTTTTAGGGGGTATTTATTCTCTTGCATTAAATAAGATTTAGCGTGGTCAAAGTTAATCAAATAGTTTTGGTTGTTAAGTTCTCTTAATTAGTAAGCATTTGAATAAGGGAGAATTATATTCGTACATGTTTCGCTTTTTTTTTTTTTTTTATATTGATGAAGTTTCACATTTTAAAATAATTTTTTATAATTTAGTTTTTTTAAAAAATATTTCTTATATTTTAAAAAAAATTTAATTAGGTCCTTACTCTTTAATAGTTATTAATATTTTTGTTAAACTATAAAATTCATTTAAGAAGTCAAATAAAATATACTAACTTATTCAGTTAGCTGTTATTTTGTGAAATATAAATTTCTGCAATTTATTTAAATTTTTTTAATAAATCCTCATAATTTAATAAAATTTAATAGATTTTTCATAGCTATTAATGAGTAAGGTTTATTTTAAAAGTATTTATTGAAACAATATTAAAATAACAATATAAATTAATAAATTGTTCAAAAGGTATACGCATAATGTGTATGAATGATAGTAAATGAAAGTATCAATAGTCTTTTATTAACTCCAAGGGTAGTTAAGTAAATTTGGGAGTGAGAGTACCTGTTTTTTCTCCTCGGATAGAGGATTAGTCTCATCCTTCTTTAAGTGGTGAAACTTAATGTACTCGTTCTTCCAATAAGGGGTAGCCTACAGGGGATTGGTCTCATCTTTCTTTTAAGTGGCGAAACTCAATGTACTCGCCCTTCCAATAAGGGATAGTCTACGGGACTGTACTTCGAGAATAAAGTGACCGAAGGAGATTGGATGAGAATACATTTAATATATACCAAAAAAGAGAGAGAAAATAGACAAGAACGGAGGTCTCTCCCAAATTCATAATAATAAATGTTTACGATAGTTATCCTACCAAAAAAATATATATTCAAAATAGATGAAAATCAAAAAATAAAAGTTAAGAAAAATCGTAACAATAGTCCTTAAAATTCAATTTGGTATAAAATTTAGTGTGTTATTTTATTGCATTTCTCTTTATATTATAAGAAAGAGAATTCTAATCCCTTTTTATAAGCAATGAAATTCGTCTTTATGTGACAGCTTATTTTAATTCATTACGAAATTTAGATCCGTTGATTTGGAAATCAAGTTATTGCTCCTTTTATTTACTTGACACCAAATAAATTGTTATTTTGTCCTTTTTAAATGATAACGAAACTTTCTTCTTCTTCTTTACTCTTTAGACTAACTTTCTTCTTCTTAACCACCGAAAAAAAAAACTTTCTTCTTCTTTGTCATCCAAAATTTTAATTCATTAAAATTTTCCTTTTATTAGTTATGTTACACTCAATCTAAAAAGGTATTTTCACTATTATTACTATAATAAATAATCCTGTCATTTTACAGCATTATATAGTTTTTATACTAATAGAAGATTTAATGTTTTTTATACTATAGAATATAAATTTATTTCCAACACACATAAAAGTGTATATGATCAATAAGAAAAAAAAATATAGAACTTATATACTTTTATATGTATATAAGAGATAAGTTTATCTTTTACAATATGATAAATATTAAACTCATAAATATATTGTTAAAAATTCTAACCGTGGTCCGTGGACCGGACTGCATATTCTTGTTTCAAAGGCCATAGAATGTCGTGTTTACATGGAAGGTTGAATTGTGTATTTTTTTAGTAATGATTGAATTGTGTATTTGAATGCAAGGAAAATATAAATCACATCTAATTATAAAATCGATTATGATCTTGAACTTTCATGGTCAACATAAAAATATTCATGGTTAGTTCTAGATTAAACGTCAACTTAGATAAATGAAAAAAAATTGCCATTGATTCTTTTAAAAGATAAGATTTCAACATAAATAAAACTTCTTTTGTTAACTTCTTATTCCTTAAGATAATAAAAACAACATTTTGACATAACATCGGACTAGGGAAATTTATACTTGGCCATTCACTTACCTCAAAAAATTTCTTACCTCAAAAGTCGAGTTTCAAAGCCAGCATTGTAAATGGAATTGGATCAGATTAGCATGAAAACATCAATTATTTTTTATAAAACAAAGATAATAACGGGTAGAGAATTGGGAGAGCAAATATTATTTTATTTTTGAAATAAAATTTAATTTAGACAAGGCGCCCCCGTGTAAAATCGATAAAACTATCAAGTTTAACAAAAAAAAAGATTATAATAAATTATATATTTTTCATCAATAAACCTGGCTTTAGTAAGAGGGAAAGATCCATTAGATAAACTATGGAAAAGCAATATACTGATAAACGATATGGAATCCTTTTTTTTTTTTTTTTTTGAAGTGCATGTAGAATCCTTTTAATAATAATAGATCTAGGTGACAAGTTCATGTGAGCGGGTAAAAAAGTCGATAATAAGCCAAACGAATCCCACCAAACAAACCCTAATTGATCATACGACGTACTTGCGGCAGTTGCAGCCGACATTATTAAAACATTACTTCGAGTGTGTGTGTGAAATAGGAAAGAGATACAATGGGATAAAAATGTCGGAGCCGTTCGGTACACGTATTTTTGGATTTTTGAGAAGCTAAATTTTTTAAAAATTTAAATTTTCAGATATTATTGTAAACTGAATGTAAAAGTTATATTTTTAAAAATCGAGATTCTTGGATAAATAAAAAAATTTCCTATATCAAACGTCCCCTTAAAGTAACATAATTTGCTTGTTATGTTGAGTGAGAAAATTTTATTTCATATCCATAAAAAAAATAATAGAACTTAGTTTTTTTTAGTAAATTTTATCCATTTTTTTTAAATATTTCATAAGATAAATGCAACATGAAAAATTATATTTTCAAATTTATTATTATTTTTTAATTTATCATTCACTACATTTATTTCTGTATTTTTTTATAACATGAAAAAAAATTAAAAAAAATCCAAATCCGTGTAAGAAAAAGTGTTCGAAAACCAGACCTAAAAAAGAAGACAGGGACAAATCAGAGAGACATGGGTCCCATCGTAAGAGTGCCCCAATACGGCATCTCCAAGTCTCGCGATGCACTGGAACACACCCCTACCCCAAAATCTACGTCACCAACTCCAATAGCTAGCGACTCTCTCTCTCTCTCTCTCTCTAAATTCTATACTCAGAAAAAAAAAAAAATACCTCTTCAACCCTTCAAAGTCCAAACCTTTCTCCCGTTTTCTTTCTCTCTCTGTTCAGCGTTAGATAAGAAGAGTATCAACACTTTCTCTCTCTCTCTCTATAGCTCTGTCTCTTTGTTCAACCATGAAGAAGCTCTACCATAAAGCGACGGTTCATCCGTCACCGCCGGTCATCTCCGACCAGCTGTCCTTCCTTCCGGCCACCATCCTCACCCTAGCGGCGGCGCTCTCGCCGGAGGACAGGGAAGTCTTGGCCTATCTCATATTTTGCTCTTCCGCCGCCACCCCTCCTGCTTTCGCCAACTTTTCCGGCAACTCACGGAGGGGCGCCAACAAGAGCGCCGTCGCTAAGGGTTCCGTGGACGGCGATCACTCCCCTCTGTTCAACTGCAGCTGCTTCAATTGCTACACGAGTTACTGGGTTAGGTGGGACGAGTCACCGAATCGCCAGCTCATACATGAGATCATCGATGCGTTCGAGGATTGGTTGGCGCAGAGTAACAAAGGTGGGAAGAAGGGTAACGGAAAGAAAGAGAAGAGGAACAAGAAAGGGTCTAATAAGAACTCGGGCGAGTTGAAGCGGGCTGAGTTAATGAGTTCGGCGAGTAGCGAGTCAGAATCGGTGGGGGAGAGTAGTACGAGTGACGGTGGCGGTGGCGGTGAAGGTGGTGGTGATGGGGTTGTTGCTGAGGAAAAAGGGTCGGTGAGAAGGTTCATGAGTTTCGTTGGAGAAAGGATTTGGGGTGGTTGGGGACAGTGAATGAATTTGGAAGAAAAAATAAATAAGGTAATTTAGTTAAAGAACAAGAAGAAAGGAAAGGAAAAGAATAGGTAAGGTAGGTTTATACTTCTTTCCTTTTTTTTTTTGTTGTACATTAATCATTACCCTGCAATGTTAAAAAAATGGAGTGGATGTTTGGTTTTATGAACCAGGGGATTGGTTTTGTTATATATAATCAATCAAATCATATATATCAATCCACTTCTTTTTGTTTTGAATCTGTTCATTCTATTTTCAATTTATGGTAAAACGATGTTTTATTGGGTTAGTTTTGTGTCATTGTAAAAAGTTTATGAACAGGTTTTTCTTTTTTCCTGGAAGTTGTAGAAAAAGAGAGAGAGAGAGAAAGTTACTCCTCAATTTTTGGTACCGAAGACAGTTTTAATTGAGGTGAAATTATTTTCTGGTTCTAGCATTGTCAGTGTTTAATCTAGGTATTTAGTATAACTGAAGTATTAATGGTGTTTATTAGGGTCTTATTGATATGTTGGAGGTCAAAATTGGCAAATTTGTTTGCTTTCTTTCCTAATTAGATGATGTCGAAGTTGAATTTGACTAGTTCCTTTTTATGAGGAAATTTTCTAGATTTTAGTTGTCTTTATTTATCCCTTCTCTCTTTCCGTGAGGAAACTTACAAGCATACATGAATTTCAGGGAAAATTAAACCTTGATAAGTATATTGACTGGAAAGTGCATACTTAAATTTTTAGATTACTTAAAAAAAGTAAAATGCTCATTTGTTAGACATCTTGTGAGTTTGTTTTACTAATTTATATATATATTCTTGCCATAATGATGGGTCAGATTGACTACTTCAAAAACTAATTAAAACGTTTCATACTTGTTATCAAAAAAAAAAAAAAAAAAACGTTTCATACTGAAAATAAACCATAACTAAATTCTCTAGGCAATGGCGTGAAATTGTCTGAAACGATATCATCGAACCATGAAATAATGAAAAAAATTATACTCATTAATTTATTTATGATCATTTCACATTACAGCACATGTCGCATGAGAAGCTTAACAATTACATTTAATTTCATGACTTAATTTGCCCCTCCTTAAAAATTATGGGAAGAGCATTTTCAATGACATAATTTGCCCTTCCCAAAAATTCTGGGAAGAAAGCGGGGTGCAGCTGGTATTACGTTGGTTATCTGTGGTATATTTATATATGTAAGAGGATTTTATGAATTTTTTGTTCTTTATAATAATAATTAATACTAATATAACTCATAATGTAATTTTGAACTTGAGTTTAATTTTCACCGCTTTAAATGTAAAGAGTTTTTTGTAATTGCAATTTTCACATTATCACATCATTCAATAAATTCAATTATGAATACAATTATTTGAAAGTTATACTTTTAATAGCATATAATATGTAATTACACCACTCATAATTAAAGTCTTAAGTTTTATCCTTCTTTCTACAAAAGGATAATGATTCTCATTCATATTTTGTTTGTTAGTCGTAAAGACTTTTGTGGCATATGTACGACGACAGAAATCAAAATCAATGTTCGATTCAATTGACAGAAAACATGATAACATTTTGTATTTAAAAATCTTAAATAATTTACAATAACATATTATTATTATTATTATATATATTTTTGATGAATTTTTAATATTATTATTACATTGTATTGTTCTTTTATTCATGGGTTTTATTTTTTTATGTCACGTAAGAAAATTTGTATCTTCTACTCTTATTTTGATTTTTGTGTTCTATTTTTTCTATTTTCTTTTTTAAAAAGTAATGTGGATCTTATCATTTGTTGTGAGAGTAAGAAAAAAAATTTATCTTATGTGACATAATAAAAATATAACTCTTTATTCAATTAATATAATATTGGAATTCAATTGAAACCATCAAAGTTGCTGGAGGTCATCGTCGTACACGTAGTTTGATTTCAAATTTCAATTCTCAAATGGACCAAAAAAACTGCAGTTCGGCGCACCGGGAAAAGTTCGTACGTGGTTATTCGATAAACGTACAGGAATTTGACCAGTTAGTTGTACTTTAGCAATCTGAAAGTTTTCATTTTTTTTTTCAACTTCTACAATTAATTTTATAATAAAATTGTGCAATTGTAACATAGATGACATAATAGATTAATACGATTAAAAAAAATTGAAGAAAAAGTAACATTTTATTTTTTATTTGTTTGAGATGATGTAGTGTGGCACGCTGATAAAGGCCGGTGATGGCTGACGTGTGGTATTTTCGGCACTAAACGAAAAAATGATAATTAAAATTAGGGTACGCTATTTGTAATTTTAAATAAAATAAGTTATGTCATTTAAAAATAAAGATAAATATAAAGAATAAAAATTATGAAGAAAAAATAGGTGATTTTTTAATTTAAATTTTAATAAAAAATATTCTCTTGTATTTATCTCTCTCTTAAAATAACATAATTTTATGTTATTTAAAATGACAAATATTTTTATCTTAAAATTTTCTTTAAAAAAACAAATTGGAGAATAATGATAAGAGGAGGCTAAGTGGTGGGGAAGAACGAGGTCGGAAAAAGACCAAAAGTAAAGGCTTCGATTTAAGCGAAGGGGGCAGAACAAAAAATCCCCACTATGGACACTTGACTCGAAATCTTTCATTGTTCTCCAAGGCGAAAAGACATTTTCATTTATTCTTTCTATGATACTCTCTCAAAAATCAACGTCACTTCATTTACTAATTTCCCTTTTACTTGATTGAATTTTGGGTGCAGCAAATGTAAATATATTTTGTCCAAAAAAAGATAAATTTTGGGATATTGAGAAAAACATAAGTTAAAAGTTGGATTTAAAGAAAAAAAAATCCACTTTTTTTTTTTTAATGTAACGAAGTGGATACATGAACTGTACCTAAGAAATTTTTCATTTACTTCTAGGGAGTGTTTGATATGAGTTCTTTGATTGGAATGATGAGTAAGTGAGTTTGATAATAATTTTTTACAATGTTTGATATGAAGATATGTAAGAAATTCCTAGATAAAAAATATACTAGGCACTTGAGTTTTTCACTAAAGACCGGATAAAAAAAAATCCTTCTTTATATATGGTATTTATTTTTTCTGTTGACTTCAGATTTGATAGAATTCAATAGCGGAAGTGTATTTGGCTTGAAGTTTTGATGATATCATTGAAAGGATTCTTCTGACTTAAATACAAAAGTATGTTACAACCGAAAGAGATAAAATAGCAAATACAAGTGTATGCTAATAGCAAATCAAAAGACTAAAGGATAACAGCAATTAATAACAACCTAGCTAACAATTTGCTAACAACTAAAGACTATCAGAACAGATACAACAGTAACGGTTTGTGATCTTGTTGACACTCCCCCTCAAGTTGGAGTGTGGAGATGCGAAATACCCAACTTGGACAGCAGATGGTAAAACGGTTTCTTGCCTAAAGCTTTGGTGAAAATGTCCGCTGGTTGGTCTGCAGAGGCAATATGAGCAGTAGAAATAGTCTTTTGCATTAAGTGTTCCCGTACAAAGTGACACCTAATGAATGGAGAAACGACTTAAACCAAAGTAATTCTGAAGTTGTTGCTGCCATGGCCATATACTCGGCTTCTACTGAGGATCTTGAGACGGTAGGCTGCTTCTTGGTTTTCCAAGATATGGGAGATGATCCCAACTGCACAAAGTACCCGGTGATGGATCTTCTTGTGATTGGGCAGCTTGCCCAATCGGAATCACAGAAGCCACGAAGTTGGAGGTCCGATGATGATGATAGAAAAAGTCCTTGACCTGGATTGGATTTAAAATAGTGAAGGAGACGCAAGACAGCATTATAATGCTCCATTTTTGGTTGCTGCATGAATTGTGACAAAATGTGGTCACCATAGGAAAGTTCTGGGTGAGTGATGGTTAGATACACTAGCTTCCCAATGAGTCTTCGATACCGTGTGGGATCTTCGTAGTCTGGGCCTGCAGCAGTTGCGAGTTTATGGTTGGGTTCGATGGGGAATTCACTTGGTTTGCACCCTAGAAGACCTGCTTCATTCAGGATATCTGTAGCATATTTACGTTGACACATGAAGAATCCACGTGGACTCCTTGCGAACTCCATGCCGAGGAAATACTTTAGAGGACCAAGGTCCTTGATTTGAAAACAAGAGTTAAGGTACTGCTTGATGTCATTGCATGCTGCAGAGTTATTTCCTGCTAGAAGGATGTCATCCACGTAAATTAAAACTGCTACGAAGACAGGTCCATTTGCGAATGTGAAAAGTGTGTAATCAACCTTGGATTGAATGAAGCCATAGCTGATGAGAGATGAGGAGAGCTTAGCGAACCAGTTGCGAGGGGATTGCCGTAGACCATATAATGATTTGCGTAGACAGCATACTTGTGAGGGATTGGTTGCATGGAAACCTTGAGGGAGACACATGTAAACTTCATCATGAAGCTCACCATGAAGGAACGCATTGTGCACATCTAGTTGATGAACTTCCCAATTCTTCACAACTGCAACAGCAAGAAAGGATCTGACACTTACCATTTTTGTGACAGGGGCAAAGGTCTCTGTGAAATCCTCACCGTCCACCTGATGATTACCAGCAACAACGAGGCGTGCTTTATACCGTTCCACAGAGCTGTCTGACTTGTATTTGATTCGATATATCCATTTGCAAGGTATAACACGTTTGCCCTGAGGAAGTGTTGTGAGTGTCCAAGTTTCATTTTCTTGGAGTGCTTTTATTTCGGCTTTCATGGCGTCACACCAGCGTTCATCTGTTGCTGCCTCTTTGTAGGATGATGGTTTCAGACCTGTAGTTAAGGCTGCCAGAAAATTGATGTGTTTGGGTGTAAATGATGTATAAGAAATGTAGTTTTCAAGAGGATACCTTACATTAGAAGAAACAGATGGAGAGAGTGATTGATAATGGAGTTTATGCGCCTTCATGTGATGACAAGAGTACTCATCGAGGTATTTAGGTGACCGTCTGGTGCGTTGAGGACGAGACAGGATGTTGATACAAGGTTCAGGTTCATTTGAGGAGGCTTGGCATTGGTCAAGTACATTTGGGAAGGCTTGATTATGGGTAGAAGTATCAGGTAAAGGTGGGGGAGCTTCTGTATGTAAGGGTGAAGAAGGGTTACTCCCCCTGTCATGGGACGATGGGATAGTGTCAGGAATATGGGTTTGGGAAGGTGGTTCAGGTGCTGTATGAAGAGGAGTAGGATATGTTGGCAACTGT